CTGTGTCGCTCATTCTATGAAATAATACTATTTGCATGATTATGGCAAGTTGCGGTTTCAAAGTCACGCACGGAGCAATTACCTATTTGTGAATCTGTAAACTCGTGTTGCGGGCCTAGGTGTGATGTTATTGTTTTTGTAGACGCATCCATAGTGGCAGAGATTCCTAGTTTAGGTTTTTAGGAAACTCTAGGTATATACAGTTAAAAAACAATAATAGCCCGAAACTGTCCAATGTGGTACACGTACCGTTTGTTACAATATATCGAGCGAGCTGTTTGTGGTGACGTGCGTGTATTAATCAGCCGGCATTCAGGGCGTTCGTGAGCAATTTGATGGACCGCCGCTATTGCAAATATTGGAAACTATTCTAAAGCCAGATGATTGCGACAATAAATACGGGAATGAAAACACGACGAGCGACAAATACTCGCACTCGTGATTAATGGTCAGCGCCGGTAACGATGACACACACATACATGCATGCACAACGTGCAGTCTGCCTGTGAGAGGTGTTTCATAAGGGTGCGGCAAAGTACCTATACGTTAGTTATAGAAAGTCAAATTGTTTTTGCAGGTGCTGACTCGGCAGAACATGGAGGAGATCATAAAGTTCGCATACACACACAACTTGTTCCTGCTGGCCGACGAGGTGTACCAGGAGAACATCGTTTGCAAGCCGTTCTACTCGTTTAAGAAGGTGATGCACGAGATGGGCGCGCCGTACTCCGGAATGGAGCTGGCCAGCTTCCTGACGTGCTCGAAGGGTTGGGCGGCGGAGTGCGGGCTGCGCGCCGGGTACGTGGAGCTCGTGCGCCTGCAACCGCGCGTGGCGGCCGCCTTCAGCACCGCGCGCGCCGTCATGCAGTGCCCGTCCGTGCTGGGCCAGTGCATCCTCGACTGCGTGGTCGGTATATCCTGCACCGCCAGACCGCCACCTACAGGTTACACTCAGCACTTCAGCAACATCTAATAAACGAATATTGTCGGTTCCAGATGAAGCCGCCTGCGCCCGGCGAGCCTTCATACCCGCTGTTCGCAGAGGAACTCAGTGAAATACAACGTGTGCTCGCTGAGAGAACAGAGACCGCCTACGAGACCTTCAACTCTATTCCTGGATATTTCTGTAATCCCATTGATGTTAGTGCAACTTTTGTTTCTGCAAGTTATTTATCGTTTTTTGAGAAATATTAGCAGTAGCACGGAGTAATGTTACATTATGGTGTTGTGTCGTCAGGGCTCGATGTTTGCGTACCCCCGTATTACCATACCCGAGGCGGCGCAGGCGGCCGCCAAGGACCTCAACATGAGTCCTGATGAGTTCTACTGTCTCCGACTGTTGGAGGAAACAGGTACGAATATGTTTACCTTTCGTTATCTATGAGCTGTTCTATGTATCAGGGATGTCATTAGCTACCTTATACCCATAAGCCCTTCAACCCAAATGTCGTACATATGATTTTTTTTATTGAAATGAAACTATTTCCAAAATTGCTTCCTGTCACTTAAAATAACTATTATGGTCGTAGATCTAGTGACCCAAAATAAATTTTGCTGTATACTCCAAAGTCTAATAAATGTTATACTACTTCGCAAATTATTCCGACGGATGACAGAAAAAAATGTATTTAAGATAAACTACAGGAAATCAAAGACCAGAAAATAATAAATCTTTGTTCATTAAATGTAGCTGTGCTAGGCAGAATGTCCGCTGTGTCAGCACGATATTCTGCCAGTGTGACTCGGGCTCCGGGCTCGCAGGGAAGGAAGCGCGCCAGTGTCGCAGTCGCCGCGTGGCACTTCCCGCCACACCACTGTGTCTGCATGTCTGTACCGCCTCCTCCGATACTGCTTAGCTCGCTTTAAGTGTAGCTATTTATTATGTTCATACTTTTTGTATTATTGAATCTCCATAACAAATATCACGCTCAACTCGCACAGTACATACACTGATGTTTGTTATAATCTTTTCCAAAAGGCTGGTATCGCATTTGCAGCTCCTTCCTTGGTGTTGAGGTGTCCTTGGGCAGCGTTGATCGTTTACTTGTTTGTCCGATCCCTTAAAAGGGAAAGCCGTTTGATTTCTGCAAGTCAATAATTTTCATTTTAATCCAAAGTTCTGAGAACAACTAATTAGGTTTTCATGCGTTTTTCAAAGTGTGGTTTTTTTTGCGTGACGCTGAGCGGTGGCTAAGACATGATCATGTCTCAAGTGGATACTTTGCTAGAACGAAATTGATCATCCAGTAGCGCGGCAGTGACATAGGGACGGTAGAGGGGCGCGCTGTGTTGCCGCGTAATAGGCCGGCGCTACACACGGCGCCCGCGGGACTCACACAACGACTGCCAAGTTCCGCGGCCGCAGTAATGGCGGCCGTCAGGTAATTAGCGCGCGCTGCACCGACACATGCCGCGGAGCGCTAATGTGTTGTAAGTCGCGTACACTTCGCGACACGTGTAACTCAGTGGAGTACCACCACGCACGTGTGCCCCCTCCTTGCAGGAGCAAGATACTTCGTTCTACTTTTAGTCTTTTACTATACATACATTACAATGTGTATACATGACATTCGTAGAAGGACGACTTTAATGGATTGCCTTTTGATTTGTTTAATGGAAAGAAGCTGTTCCTTTTATAATTATTATCATCATATCTGTCGTCGTGTGCCAGATGATGTCCACTGCTGAAATGATCATAATCATCAACTGCCTGCCTGCTGATTATATTTCCTAGAGTTAACAAGGAATGTATTGTGTTGTTGGCAGGCGTGTGCGTGGTGCCGGGTACTGGGTTCGGTCAGCTGCCGGGCACGTTCCACTTCCGCACCACCATCCTGCACCCGCACGACGAGTTCCAGCACATGATGGACAGCATCAGACGGTTTCATTTTAACTTCCTCGACCTCTACTCTGAGGACTCTACTAGTATTATATAGATATTGTCTAACATATTTATAAGGTGGAATAATGAGCTGTATCGGCCTGTCTGAGTTGTAATATTGTGATCTGGTAATGCTGAGTGACCACTTCACCCGGCCTGACCGGGAAGAGTGACGTAATGCAGGCCAACGATAGGATATGTAGTTCAGTGAACCATTACATCATACACCCCGCCCCTGTGTATGTGTGAGTACAGGCAGTGCCTGTAGTGTGCTGCCACCTTTACTACCTACTGTGTAAAATAAGAAGTGTTGTTTTATCGATGTTATACTTTATTTTTATATATATATTTTAAAACAATTAATAAAACTTGTTGTAAGTATTAAAAATCGTTTCGTTTACCATTATTTCACACTTTACAGAATTATAATAATACTAGCGGATCGAACAGACGTTGTCATGCATATCCACTTGAATGCATAAACAAAAATTCATTTAAATTAGTTCAGCTGTTTAGGATAAATAACCTAAACATCGACTGCAGCGCCATCTGCCGAGCTGATTTGTGAATCTAAACCATTCCCAGATCCCCTTGAACACACACAAAAAATTTCATCAAAATCGGTTCAGTCGTTTGAGAGAAGTTCAGTGACATACACACTCACAGAAGAATTATATAATACCCGCGGCTTCGCCCGCGTCAAAAAAGGATAAAAAGTAGCCTATGTGACATTATACCAATACACACAGCGCCATGTATACCAATAATTTCGTCTTCCCTCGAGAATATCAAATTTTTCCGGGATAAAAAGTACGCTATTATTTAATCCAGACTTCTAACTTCACGTCTGCAAAAATTCTAAGCAATCGGTTAAGGAGTTAAGGCGCGAAAGTGGAACAAACAAACAAACAAACAAACTCACTTTCCGATTTATAATATTAGTGAGGATATAAAGATGATAAGGTAAGTAGACAACACGCTATATAATAATAGTCTAGCCTGTACCCTTCGTTGCCCTGCCACAGCAGCGCGCGGTCCTCCTGGCTGATCATATGCCTGGCGGAGCACGACTCTTGCCCACTCCCCCACACGACACAAGAGGTGCACCCTCTGTTACCTGTCACGAGTGTTGTGTCTGATCAAACCATTAAAAAAATAATATGACCCACGGTCCGTTCAGCAATACTTTGCAATCGCAAGGCTGCGTACTCTCTTGTGGAACTTCTGATTATATTTATTATGTAGCAGTGTCGAGCGGCTTCAGTCACGCGATTCGTCACTTTCATTACTCGGGGAGCGAACCTTAGTCTCAGTGAGTGTTGCGCGTGATGGTATGCGATGTGGGGTACTATACTATTCGTTGTAAGAGTCGCCGGAGGGGCCTGCGACACAAACATAAGAAACAAAGTCATTAGGTATACTTTATCTTTGCAGTAGATCATTTCAATTGATGTTTAAAATGTTTCACTTCGCCATCTGACGGACACCGAAAAAGGTTTTGTATTCAAAGCTTTCAGCTACTGAAAAACGAATGGATTGTATTTGTAAACAAATAGTCCTGAGTTTTGTAGGAAAGATTGCTCGATTATGTTATGAAGGTTCGGTTAGGCGAGAGGTTGGTTTTATCTTTATAAGCTTAATGAATACTTTGTCCACTGTACTTCCATGGGAGTAGGCAGACTATGTATGTATATGCTCCATGCTCCTTGAACTAAGGACGAGTACAACTAAAAATATCGTAGCACACAGCAGGGTATGCTTTTTTTTAAACTTTGCCCCACACTAGGATTTTCTCCTGTGTCATGAGTGCGTTTACAAACATACAAGTTTACATACACGGAACAACAGTCTGTGGATCACTCAAAGAGTTGTTCCGTGCAGGAATCGAACCCGCGCCACGTTGTGCGGCAGCCAGTTGCCCAGCCACCGCACCAACCATGCAGGCAGACATTGTGGAGGATAAATATAACAGTTAGTGTATGTCTGTAGAACGCAGATATTGTACGGTATTTTCTTGAGATTCGATGCCGACTTTCATAATGGAAAAGGGGACAAAGAAAATATGTAAACAGATCATATGTATGAAGAGATGAAGTTTTTATATACACGTGGTAGTGAGTCACTCCAAGAGATCATTGAAACAGAGTTGGTATTTGTCGCACAGCATCTCGAGCTGATTGGCGCGCACTTTGGCAAGCTCTTTGGCGAGGAACTGCGCGAGGTGCGCGCGCACCCGGGCCCGCGGCTGCACGCGCTGGTCGCGCAGGTACTCGTGGAGCGTGCGGCGCGCCGCGTCGCGCAGCGTGCGCTCGGCGTGCTGCAGCAGGGCCCGCCACAGCTCGCGCGCCTCGCGCTGGTGCCGGCACGGGTCGCGCCCGGCCCGCGCCACGCGCTCCGCGGTGCGGTTGTAGAACTGCCTGCAAAGTTCCCTCACGGCGTTGCTCGACGGTTACACAAACTTAGCAATACTGACTAGCGCTGGATGTATGTACCTGTACTCGTCTGTCATGTTAGAGTATATCACTTCGAAGAACGCCTTCTCCTTTTTGTTTACCACCTTGAAACGGCTGTCCACTTCCCTTCGGCGTGGTACCGCGTCACTTACATCTTTCTTTACTTCCGGGTTTATTTCCTTCTTCCTAGTCTTCTCTGCCTTAAGTTCTTTCTTTAATGCCTTTTCCATATATACGTACATTAGGTCGGAGTCATTGAGTCCGTGACGTCGACGGTCGGTTTTCCTGGTTTTGCTGCGTCTCGTTTCGACGCCGTTTATGAATTTGTTTGCTTTCACGAACACCTGCAAGCATTTCATGGAAGTCTGAAATATTTATTGTGTTAATTGCATATTAATTTCTGCGTATTGGGACGGGGTTGGTTGTTGTGTACACGAAACCGAACCTAAAGGTTTCGGTTGGATCCCTGAGTCGATGAAATAGCTATAAAGAAAGTGAGAGGTAATTGTATCAGAGTACATAAAAATAAACATTTAGTATTTGTAAAAAGATGCGTCACTACGTACGAAGCGAGTCTTTTTATAGATTTTGTAGGTTATTGATATCAATGGTGAGATAAAAATACATTGATTTATAAGATTTATGAATATATTAAATTCCATTGGTGCAAGTGTAGTGAACGTATAGGACGTTCCAACCCATCACACACTACATGCATGCACTGTGTTAAACAAATGATGAAGCAGATGTGAAGGAATCGTGTCCACGATAACACGACTGCGTTAAGCGTTTTGCAACACACAACACAACCCACAGAAGTAGGAACAATATCTACGGTAACTAGCCTTAGTGAGCTCGTTCATCATGTTACTGAGCAGCGCGTCCACTTGGTCCTTCTCAGGGTACTGGTAGATGCACTCGACCTCGGGAGCCACCGTGACGTTCTCCTGCGCCTGCATCTTGAGCAGCAACTCCTGCGCCGGCGGCCGGCCGCCCCCCTCCCAGTCCACGCGGAACCATTTCTGCCTGCCGCTGTGCATGCTGGGCACGCGCAGGTCGAAGGCGAGGTCCCCCTCCACTTGTATGTCCAGGCAGGCCACGGCGTGCAGCAGTGCCAAGTGCGCGACCAACATACTGCTACTGACGTCACAGCGCTGCTACATGCCGCGCGCTGTGTCTGTTTGTTTGTCGATGCTGTGTCAGTTGTCACGCGACACATTACTTGCCCTATGATCCGTGTTTATCATCACAAATGTATGTTTTGTTGTAGGGATGTTTGCTTGTGATTTTTTGGTACAGTAGTTTGCTCGTTCGGAGCTCGCCAACATTTTTAGCAAATAACCTCCGGCGAGCGGCGCGCGGTGGGAGTAACGAGTAATAAAAGAAATAGTAGCTGACTGGAACGAGCGAGGAGTGCTGCATGTACACACACACACCGTGTATGTGTGTGTGTAGCTACGTGCGGCACTGTTCCGACAAACGACCCCATGTATAGAGTTGGTTGTTTATTTAATATCTCGTTCTGTATGTTACCGTATGTATTATACTTACAGCAGAAGGGAGTTAGCTGTTGTTAGGCTGATGATGACACATCACTAACTAATCAATTAGAATAGATGTGAAATTAAATAAAGATGTAGGTATGGATTTATAGTGACAAAGTCAAACCGTGTGGAGTAGGGTGAAGAAGCTAGTGTGAAGTTATATTGCACACGCAAACGATAACGTTAACCGTTGCGATAACAGGTTACAGCGCAATCAATGTTTATAGCGGCGGCGGCGGCGGCGGCGGCGGCCCGGCCGGGCAGGGAGTGCGCTCCGCTGCGACCCACGTCACGCGCCATACGTGTCTAGTTGTGGCGCTGATGCCACAGATATACAAGTACATGGATACTGTTGTATAGTAGTCTGGTGTCACTGTCACTATTGGGCAATATCGATTGAGTAGGGCGTCCAAGGGTTTAACAATTAATAAATAGTTAGGATACAAACAAGAAAACACCGAAACAATGAAGTCCCCGGAGCGTACACAGTTATCTTGAAAATAAATCAGATGTCAGTGGAGAGTCAGTGGGATACCAAAATGATTTAATGCTTGCTTCTCACAGCAAACCTATGGAATGGTCTGTCGTCGGTGGTATTTCGGAACCGAGCCTTCAAGAAAAGACCGTATTCCTTTTTTAACTCGTCGAGTACCGGTTTTATAGACACAATTAAAGAACAATAGGTCGCGGTCACCGGTGACCGCTTGGTGCTTGACAGTTTAAAGGCCGGCCACGCACCTGCAACACCTCTGCTGGTGCTGCAGGTGTCCATGAGCGGCGCTGATCGCTTACCATCAGGTGATACCATAAAATAGCGCTTACAAACTCCAGCCGTCGTGTTAAGCTCGGTTGCTGAGTATGACATGACAGAACTATTTAATTTTCAAAATAATTGGTCCTAGCACAGTGTCAGTCAGAGTATGACATGAAACTGGAACAATGGAAGGTATGGCGCGGCGCGGCCTCGAACGGCCGGAGAAAGTTTTCTGTAACACAACTTGTGTTTAGTAGACACACGTATAGATACATGGTTCTTGTATATTTATTGTTCCTCCGTCGTAAACATTATTTGTTAGAAACGGAGGCAGTGTCTGCGTCGTCGCGCGTCGACAGCCGCGGGCTGCGGGCCGCGCGGCGTCGCGTCGCTCTCAAATCACATTTGCGGCGCCTCGTGGTGGCGCGTGGCGGTGCATGTGATTGCACGCTGCTCCTACTATTGCATTATGGAAATCGATTTGCTATTCCTCATATTACATATTGTTATTTAAATTTTCTATCAACACCTAAACTATAACATAAAAGAGTGTTGTCCTAACACTGCGTTACATAGTTAATGTATTACTGATCCTTCCCCTGGTATCGCTGGTACGTTAGGTGCAAAGTACCTGATATGACAATAAATGTCATAACACACGTAACAAAACTTAAAAGACACATTAAAAGTTGTAAGCGCACTGTCGGTTCAATATGCATGTATTATACACATAAACCTTCCTTAAGAATCACTCTATCTATTAAAAAGACCGCATCAAAATCCGTTGCGTAGTTTTAAAGATCTGAGCACACATAGGGACAGACAGACGGCAGATAGCGACTTTGTTTTATACTATGTAGGAATGATATAATATTCATGGCTTTTAACCTAGTACAGGTCTCAGGAGATGTGACAATTTTAAAAATAAAGTCGAAGAATCCGTGAGCACGGCACTCACCGCATAACAAACCTCGACATGTCGGATGGCGGCCGGTCAGGCTCGCACTCGGCGCCCCTCGCATGACGTGCGAGTACTCCCGGCTCCGGCTCCCGATGTACATATTAATGAAGCTGGACTCACGTCGCGTGCCTCTGCGATATCGACCGGCGCTCATACACCACCGACACGCTCGCATCTCAACGCACGGCGCGTTGTAAAGTACTCTAATCAAAGTACTTGTTAAGTAAGCAGCGCGACCGTCGCGACTCTAAAGCACAAGGAGCCGGCGCCGGAGCCGGACACTTAGTACACACGTGTTTCAAATTAGGACTCGTCTATATGCCGCGCTGCGGCGGTGCCAGGCTACACATGTCAATTATATTGATGGGGGATGGGCAACAGAGCGCGGTTTACAGCTGTCACTTTGATGTGGGGAGATTTGAGCAAGCCAGGAGACACGACTGCTGGAGATACCGCGCCGTATTATATTAAAGTGATTTGTCACGGCTTGCCTTTCGATAAAGTGTCGGAGATATGTAATGATTGTAAGTGTGTACTGTGTATAGTCCAGTATGTTCAGTAGGACACACACACACTCCCACCGCGTGCGCTGGTGTGCGTCAACTGAACGATTCAATAATAAGACAAACAAAATTTACAAAAAAGTAAGTTCTATTATGTTAAGTTACTAATCCAATTGTTACCTACAAATGAAACTGATGTACACAATATTGTAAATATTTAATTATTTATAGTAAGTAACTAGCTGTAGCCCGCGACTTCGTCCGCGTAGAATAATGACTTCTGGCAGAATTCAGTACCTAGTATAGGGATCCTCCCCTGTAGATGATAACGTGATAATATGTAGCCTATATTTTGACCTGACTAGGCAAAAATTCTAAATACCATATTTTTGACTTCAGTATCAATTGTAGACCACGCTACAAATATTCTTTTAAAAAATATTCAATGTACAGTTTTGACTTTTCTACGATTTTATCTTATACTATATATAAAGCGGAGTTTGTCTTTTTCATTAATCTCTGGAACTACAAGTCTGATTTGAATAATTATTTGTTTTGTTGGATAGCGCATTTATCGAGGATGGTTATAAGCTATAAAACATCACTCTACGATCGATAGGAGCTGAGCACAGCGTGTGAAACCGAGCGGTAGTAGCTAGTTATATATATGTATAGAAGATAGATATAAAGCTCAACAATTGTTGCAATTCTATAAGTTCGTTTATATGACCAGATACGAGAATGTGAAGTAAATTACTTACATATTATAGTAAACAAGAATCTCACGGGACACTATGTAGATCTACCTACATACATACGACAATGTATTAATTATCTCCGTATTTTACTAGCTTCCTTCTATTTGTGTACTGTAATACAATTAAAAAAAACTGTTGACGTGACTTTCCAACCGATTTCAAGGGGGAGTTTCTCAATACGACTGAATATTTTTTATGTTTGTTCCTCGATTACTCGAAGACGCCTGGACCGATTACAAAAATTTCTATTTTTGTTTGAAAGGGTTAGTTTGTCATTTGGTCCCATTGTCATGAAGTCAGGATCTGATGATGGAATCCCAGGGAAACCGAGGGAAACTTTTCAAAAATATAGGGGAGACTAGTGGATTTGTTAATTTTTTCGTTAATTATTTAAAACCACTACAATCTGTTAAAGGTCTGGAGCTGATCTGATGATGAAGCCGATAGGCAGTCGAGGGAATTCCTCAACGGCTAACAGTAGCTACCTTGTGTTTGGGGTTGATTAGTTTGTATTGATGAGGACTTTATACCTGGGTGGTATGTGATTGCCAATAAGGGTCTGATGATGAAGTAGTACCATAGTTGAGGGAAGTCCTCAGCGGTTACCAGTAGCTATCTTGTGTTTGAGATTGATTAATTTGTATTGATGAGAACTTTACACCTAGGTGTGGTGTGGTTGTCACTAAATGTTCAATGATGAAGTAGTATGATAGTTAAGAGAACAATGGCTACCTGATGTTTGAGCTTGAATAATATGTATTGATGAAAACTCTGCACCAATGTGGATTGTACATAATATAATATATTCTAGTACTAAACTAAAAAGTATAAAATCAAAATATATAAAAACAGTGTTCAAAAAAACCGACTTCAAAAACAAAAACAAACAAAAAGTAAAAACTAAAAAGCAAAAAATAACTATTGGTCATACGTACTTACATAGAGCTTACACACCCACACTGGTAGGTTAGATGTCGGTGCCACAAACCCATAACAAAATATATCTTGGGTAATGGTCACAGGTATAATCCACATTAAAATTGTAAACAGCTTAAAAATGTTAGGTATCCATTAAGGTTTTAATGAATAATTTTGTGTAAAACATGTGGCACCGACTTCTCCTTCCCAATCTATCGGTCTGGCTGCAAGGGTGACATCTGATCAGTGGACAGATATTTTTATGTAAGGAAATGGATAAAAACGTATTAATAATCGGAGTGCAATGAAATATCTTTGCCCCTCTCAAGTAATGGCTGCCGACTGTCGCAGAAGTGAGTGCGGGTGAAGGCGAGCCTCTCACTCCGGCAGACATGTGTTGTGTCATTGCTCAGTTCTGGAACACTTTATGAGTTCACCTAACGCAGACGTGACGCCCTCGTAAACTTTATTTTATTTTTCCTAAATATATTACGCTCCTGTACCTTGTACCATAAGTAGGCGTAATAAAACACACAATGGTATGGCTACATTGTTTATTCATTCGTGTTTCTCGAGTTCCGCGAGTCGTATGCTGAGATTGTGATGTCGGAGATGTCATTGTGCACTGCTGCTGTCTGCAAGATATTGTTGCGGCAGTGGGCAGACTAGGCCAGAAGTTCCGAACTCCGGCCTGG